ACTGCGACGTAACAAGACATAGATGTGCGTGGCGTTTAAAGGCTGCTCTCTCTCTCTCTCTATATATATATATATATTTATTTATTTATACATATACACACACACACACACACACACACACACACACATATATATATATAATATATATATATATATATATATATATATATATATATATATATATATATCGTTAGCTTTGTGAGCATGGCTAGAGCCCAAGAGCCATGTTACCCGTCAGATTATCATCGCACCGTTTAACCGTACACAATGTCTATTGCTATACCCAGGCCTTGGCTAATGGACACTCTTCACCCACAATTTCAGGTTGAGATCAATTCACGTAGAGAGAGTGAGAAACGCTATGCGAACAAAGGGACTGATACTAATATAGGTCACACGACTGTCGGCAAGCTGTGCGAGACAAAACACGATCCTTCCGACTAAAGTTTATTACAGGCGAGTGATCCATGGTACTAGCAATTATAGTAATTATAGTAATTAAGTAATTATAGCCCTTCCGCTCCCACCGCGTAAACACGTCAAAGATCTATCGCTCAACGAACAAGAGCTTGAGCTATCAAGATCTTTCCGTAGTTAATAACGGTGAGCTGGACATTGCCAATTAAACACAAGTGGCGACTGTTGTGACGTCACCAGTAGCTCTGAAGGAGCAACGTATGATGTCAGCTAGGCAAAATTTATTCAGTATATTAGAGAATGAGAGAGAGAGAAAGAGAGAGAGAGAGAGAGAGAGAGAGAGAGAGAGAGAGAGAGAGAGAGAGAGAGCGAGAGAGAGAGAGCGACTGAGCGAGAGTGAAAGAGAAGAGACTAGGTAGAGAGTGAGCAAGCACCGACTAATAATTAATGTTAACTATAGTTCGGCGTATACAGGTGCAGATCTGAATGGTCGAACGGCTACATGTGCAAGTCGGCTCCCAACACCAGACACTGAAAATTTATAAACTGTGCATTAGAAAACCGATTTTCATCTGAGCCAATGCAAGCCTGCTTACAAAAGGCACCTTTAACCGGATTAGAGACGCACGCGTGTGAAACGCCCGGCGCATTCTCGTCAAGCATGCGACTATACGCACGCTCTCGCATTTACGCTGTTGCCGCAAAACATGTTGTCGCAAAACGCTTGTATGGTGTCTAGTGGACAGCTCGGATATGTTACACACACATGGAGTATAAGAGGATTTTGTAAGACGTAAGATGTGGCATCCTTTATTTCATCATTAGGCCATATCATATCCGTGCGCCGATGGCGGAGAAAACCAGTACATAGTCAGCTGCACGAAATGGTTCACATTAACTTTACACGCACCGCGGATTTTAGAAACAAAAGTTCAGCCATTAGACTTGTGCTAATCTCTAAACCTTAGTAATGTGAATGCACACCTGAGCTAAACGGCAGCTGTACAAAATGGTTGGACGAGACTTTTATACGTCTTCGTACTCTCAAATACGAGGCAAAATAGAGAATAACTGCACCCGCTTTTATGATAGAATTGGCGTAATGTTGTAAGCGATGCAAGAACGTGAGAATTTTGTGATGAGATGAAACAGAATGCAAAGCCCCGCTCTGCCGATGTGTGTGGGAGTGGGTGTGTTAGCAACAGTAAAATGGATAGAAATAAAAAGGTAGCAAGCTAGCCAGCGAAAGAGAGAGAGAGAGAGAGAGAGAGCGTGCGCGAGTTATATATATAGAGAGGGCGACAGACCGAGAGGAAGAGCGAGGGGTGCGAGAGAGGGGAAGGGAGTACCGATGCCATGTGTATACGAAAACAAATTGCTATTAATCTTCGAATTAGTTAGCTTTATGACTGCCGTGTGTCAACGAACCTCTGCATCGTTGACAAGGAATGTAAGTAATCAAGAGCAGATAAAGAAGGCTTCTTTATCTGCTCTTGAAGTAATGTATCAGCAACCGTGCTCAGAGAGCATCGTAAACTAGTGATAGAGCGCTATATCAATAAGACGGTACGTTTGCATTGGACGTCTGATGTCTATGAGAGACAGAACATTAATGGCCTCTAGTGCACGCGGGATACACATCAGACATAAATATGCAGACGTACTATATACCCTTTTCGGTACGAGCGCAATATAAGACATTGGCCGCTTTCGAGTTCTGCTTATACTGAGTTCATCGCTGCAGGCTTTATCTCCCGCACCACTATACCCGTAAAATGTTCACATTATAATGTTATATGAATTTCATGAGCTTCATGAATTTCATCAATAAACACGCGATGGCTCGACCATCTTCTTGTATTAGATGTCGACGTATGCTGAACGCATGAAACTTCGATCACGCGTAGACCCTTATAGAAGACAGTAATGTATTTTTATCGAATGATATTGGTTTCGATCTTGCACATCGATAATGTGAAACCGCAAACGCAATTTTTTTATAATAGAGATCGCGGATCTTAACACTACGATAATCATGTTATGCGTTTTAGCCAAAATTATCAGTAGCATGTAAAAAAAACTTATATATAGCTCGACGACGTTCCTGGTGTAATGTGTTGACTTTGTGAATTGAACTTTCAATTGTAACTGGTATATTGTGATTAGAAAGAGGTTTTTGGTGCAGACTATTAATAGGAGTTTGGGTTGCGCACTGCTATCAGGTGGTTTTTGCGTTATTGATTGGCTTTTAGTGTGGAAGGCTGTTGTAAACAACGGTATCGTGCCGCTACTGGAAGGCGGCTGTAAGCTGTATTGCTATAACAAATGATAATGGATGTCGTGCGAGTTGAACACATAATCCGGCTAATAGGTCTGCATTAATTCTAAGTAAGCATTTCCCGTCGACATCGTACGACAAGCCAACCTTTGCTTAAACGGACTCAACGTTATTTTATTCTTATATTCCGGGCGCTCTTCCATCAATTTGCCGCGCAAATGATTGCCGACATTAGAATAAAGCATTTACCCATGTGAAGATCGCAGCCAATTTTCACCTAACCGCGGGGAGCCATCGCCATATTCTCTGGCGTGATTACATACGAAAGCTGAGGCTCGTAGCTTTTCTACGAACACAGAAACAAGGAGCGCGCTGCGATGACAAACGACGCAGATTTTCTATGACGCTGGGGCTCATCTATAGTTAATACGTACACTCGTCTACAGGTGGCGCGAGAGTCGCACGTACGCAGCCACGGTTTTAAAGCCGGGGATTTGCGCGTATGGTGGGGAAAACAGTAGGACGCTATACATACAAAAATCAGTTGGCTTTCCACGACTAAGCGTGCACAAGATAAACGCACGAAGTGGTCATCAAGAGCTAGTGAAAGATTTCGCTCTCTCGGTCGATGTGCGCGGAGATAGAAACGATAAGGCGGCGTCTATTGTATCAGCTAACAAATATAACGCGGCGTGGTGTCTTTACTTTAGAGGCGTCGTTTCATTTTATATAGCGCTCGCAGTAATGTTTTTAACGCGGGAAACCGACTTCGGGAATAATCAAGATATCATTCAGCGGATAAGCACACGAATTGTACAGCCTTGTACAGAACTGTGAAACTTTGCATGTATGTACATCTTGAATTCATGAATATCTTCTAATATAGTCTACAGTGTGACCATTTTTATGTGCTTATCCACTGTACTAATACGCTTTCGCCTGAATTACTCAATGATTCGTAACTCTGTAGCGAAGTTCCGTCTCGGGAACCAATCTCCTCGGCACGTCGGGTATTCCCGCACGGTTCTTTGTACTCGAGCCCGCGACGTTTCCCGCTATTTAACCAAGATGCTCAGTGTGCCCTAGATTGTCGGTCAGTTCCCACTGAACGTGATTACGTCACCGTAAATAGTATAGGTAAAAAAAAATCCCACTTTTTCACAAAATGTAACTAAATCTGTTTGTGATTATCACTATATTATCACCTTTTATGGTTAAATTGTTGCATTATCCTTCCTATTTTACTATATTGTTCGATGTAAACATACCCTCGTGACTCATACATAGCCAGAATAGTCAGGATCATAATATCAAATTGTCCAGGTTTTTTGGATTTTTAACTAGTTGAGAAACAATCTTCTCAGGTTAGAATTTGACGATACATTTAGTCCCGTAAAGCCCGACGCATGAGTCATTTTACTCACGTGTGCGGCGGATTTTCGTTGAGTAATTTGACGCATGCGTCATTTTACTCACGTGTGCGGCGGATTTTCGTTGAGTAATTTGACGCATGCGTCATTTTACTCGATATAAACCGTGTTTGATAATTTTTGATTCATGCGTCATTTTACTCAACGTGTGCGCGCGTTGAGTAAATTTACTCGACACTGGTACTCACAGCGCATGCGTTTAAATCATTGTGCGCCCAGTATTGGCTGCGTTAAGTCACGTGATCTGCATTACCACTTATTCCTTGAGTAATTTTACTCACGTGTGCAGCGAACGCTGAAAATATTACGCGTGAGTATTTTGACTCATGCGTCATTTTACTTGAGTAAAATTACTCACGTGTGCGCCGGGCTTAAGTACTTACTTTTAATGGAAAAAAATGGTAACCAAATGTTTACAAATATACACCATAGAAAATTCGTCACGTAGTCAATTGAACGTGGACATTTTCATAACAAAGTCTGGCGGTCTTCTGTCGGTCATAAAGTAGTCGTTTCGGTTGATTTGGAAGTACGGGGAAGAAACACGGTCGAAATGTCAAGCGGTAATTTAAGCTACACACTGTGTGGTAATTTTGGGACACACTGTGCGATTTTCTACGCTGGCCGCTTGCGATAGATAAATACGGTGCCGGGTCCGCGCGGTGTGTCCGGTCTCACGGCAGCGTATTTCGCTCGCGATCCCATACGCCCGGCGCATCGCTCGTATTCAACATGTTGAATATTTCCGCCCGGTTTTTCATCGCGTGCGTACAAATACGCCATTGTGTCCACATGTTCGCGCGCGATTTCTGTCAGCAGCCAATCAATTTTAGTAAAGCAGTCACATGATGTAGAAAATGGCAGCGTAGGCCTACATGGTAGAAGTGTGGACTACGCAGGAGGAGGATGATTTGGCCACTTTATGGTTAGAGAATCCATGTCTGTATGACATACAGTCTGCAGAATATCGGAATCGAGTTGCAAAGGAAACAGCATTAAATGCTATTGCACAACTACTGGAGATGACTGGTAATTTCACCTATAAACAGTTCAATAAATCGAATTATGTTCATTATTTAGTTGACGATTTCGTATGGCAGTGTTGTGCCTATAAGTATGACAACAGCCCTTAATTACTTATATATTATTTATAGATGGGCTATTTGTAGAATTTCAGCAAATTTGATTTTAATTCGAGTTGAATATGTACAACCTCCCGCCTAACACACATTGTTCTGACTTTATTTATTTTCACCTGTTACTGTACATGCTAACACGGCCAGCGTACAAAATCGCAGTGTGTGTCCAGCTGTACGCGCAACTCGTACGGCGTTCTAAAATCGTGAGCGAAAATATACGCTGCCGGGCAGCGCATAGAATCGCTAGTGTGTCCTAGGCTTAAAACCAACTGCGTCCCAATTACACTTGGTATTTCTTAACCAAACAACGGTTTGCCTAGAAGAAATAGGCGTTCAATGACGGTTTTTCTAATTTTCGCTGCTTCGCTTTCTCTCTCTATTATGAGCTCTTGATATATATATATATATATATATATATATATATATATATATATATATAATGAAGTCGCTTACGAGTGGCGAGAGCTGGGAGCTCACACAAGACTGGCGCGAAGTCATAATATCTCGAGCGGCAAGTCCATGCTAGCTAGCATAACCACTAGTCCACGATAGCGATGTGATGATATTATGTGTTTGTGGTATGTGGATTGTTATTTCACGCTTAGCCAGCTTCATAGTAAATATGCATAAAATCAGGCAGCGTTGACACAGGGCAAACACTAAACGTGTCACGTAAAGTATTCTCACGATTTTGCTGTATAAACGGCAAGAGTTAGATTATGTGTAGTGTCGGTCACCTAACGTGCGCATTAGAAATAAAAGTTTCGCCTCAACGGAAATAATAGCTGCTCTAAGATAAAGAATGATCGCAGCTCGTTTGCGCATAGAAGACGTCATGTGTATTGTCACCTCCGGTAGTTCTTGTGACCAATATGGATATTTTGCGCGTATGAATTGTCAACTTGTTACGCAAGAGCGTATGACTCATACTACTTGTGTTTTTTGTTTGGATATATGAAGAGGAAAGTCATTGATACTTGATATATGATATTATTGCTATATATGAAGAGGTCACTATTATGTCGAAAAGTTTGGTGCGTGTCTTGTGTGTGCATATTGTAGAAATGCGGGTTCCATACTAAAAAATCTATATTATAGTAGGTATATATAGAACAGGCGCTTTTTTCTGCATTTGGGTTCATGAGGAATAGGAAACACGTATAGAAATAATATATATTATATACTATTTCTATACGTGTTTTCTATTCCTCATGAAATGCAGAAAAGAAAGCGTCTGTTCTCGCTTCTCTTTGGTCGCTATTCGTTAGCGGCGACATGTCTGGAAAGCCTAGGCAGCCGCGGTGTGTCACGCACCTCTCATACTCCTAATGAAGCGCCGACTCACGGCTCGCCTTTTCTTCGTTCCTTGGTTCGAATGTATACTATACCATAAATAGTAGTTACAATTATAGTATGTGGGCTGCGAAACCCGCCCGCTATAGAGTGAACGGCATTCGATACGTTGCGTTGTTGGTACGGTAAATGCAGGCGATCACCTTCATCATGCACGATGACATATAAACAAAGGCAGGTGATCACCTTCATCATGGACGATGACATATAAACAAAGGCAGGTGATCACCTTCATCATGGACGATGACATATAAACAAAGGCAGGTGATCACCTTCATCTTGCACGATGACATATAAACAACTAGCCAGGCAACACACATCGCTGCGTGCAGCGTAGCTACTCGCAAGGCATGACGGGATAGAACCGAACCTCATACACCCTTCTACCGAGCTGTCAGACACACACGCACACACACACACACACGCACACACGCACACACGCACACACGCACGCACGCACGCACGCACGCGCGCGCGCGCGCACGCACACACATACCCACACACGCATACAATATATATATATATATAATATAATATCTAGGCATTGTGCCATCGGTTTCATTGTGCGTACCCTTTACAGGTGCGTATATATATGATCACTATATGGTACACGCGTTCTCTTTGTTACACATTGCAGCGCATGATGCGCTATAATTTAATGTCATGCGATATACAGGAAATGAAAATGCACACGCTATTGCCATCCCGAAACCTCCTTTTAGCAGCAGGATAGTAAATGTTGATATGATCAGAAGTAGATATTAGGGAATCCCTATTATCTACTTCTGATATGATGAATGTGTCTCTGGATACGGAAGACAAACTAATTGCAATAGCGAAAAACAGCGTTTTTACCAATAGAAATATATAGTGAGACTATATATATAGAGAGAGAGACTAGTGTCTCTATATATTTCTATGGTTTTTACATGTACATCTCAGATATTTCTAGATAATTAAACCCACACGTTGACAAATGCGGTAGCGCGCAAGAGGTGACATTAATCTTTAGCGCAATTTGTACGTCATTCTGTTACAAGACCATGAGCTCATCAAACATTAAACCTGTTCTTTTTAAATAATAAACGAGCACCCGAGTCGTGCAAAGCGTAAACATGCTCGAAAGAATCAGAATGTTCGTACCGCTATAGCACGCGTTAAATATTTAGTCATCACTCGCGCCTCGCTGAAACTCTCTCTTAGTGAAGACAAAGTAATTTTTCGCCAAACGAAAACGCCTGTGTGCGTGTAAACATGCGAATCTTTTCCGTGAAACCGCGTTGACTTACCGAGAGATCAGTGGAAGTCACCGTGAAGAGATTTCAATGAAACGAGCCGAGGAAACCTGCAAAATGGGAAGAAAGAACAAAATAACTCTTGGTTAGACAACACTGCATGAGACCATGTCTCTGAGAAAATATAGTTCAATGTGTTATTTAGTATACGCAGTAAGGTCTAGGATCGAATGACACACAGCCACCTAGGGTAACATTTGCGGGTTTACTGCTGTTTTTTGCGTGGACATTAATGCCGTGATGGCCAAGTAATAAAACGAATTATTCATCCATGGAGAGAATGACTATCTGAACCTCACATTCACAACGGATGCGAAAGTTAGTCATTTTCCCGTGGGATGGATAGTCGCATTAAATGCGTGTCGTCGTTGCTTCCAAGCACTCGTCTCCGATCGACGCTGCATGTCACTCTTCCATCTCGTTGTTTTCAACTATTGTCAGATTCTTTGTCAGTCCGTACATTCACTAGCCCTCACCCGAACGCATTTCACGAGTATCATTTCGAAGGTCGCCGTTACAATTAGAAGCGCCTGAGTGCTGCAAGCCGGCTCGACGATACCGCTAAAGGTTAATTTAGAATAACAGCTCATAACGCTCGCACGCGACGGTGGCGTTTTCCGCATAGAAGCGACAGACGTGCGTGCACGCGCTGAAATGCCTGCATGCGCGCGTGTTTGCGTGTGTGCGTGTGTGCGTGTGTACGTGTGTCCGGGCATGGCAGCGAGGGACGGTGCAACGAATCATGTGGAAATATGAAGCTGTTCATTGTCGCTGACATGTACGCGAGGATCAGCTTCGTCATTAGTGCCATCCTTTCCGGATGAGTGCCTACGAAAGCCGCGTCCACGCCGGCGGCGGCCTGCGCATGGTCTCAATAACGCAACGTAATGAAGCCGAATAATTTTTAGATTACTTACGAACAATATAATCTGGTAGTGTCACATCGTCTCGCTAAATAGCACAACTAGAGGAGAAAAGGCGCCGATCGTAGACGGCATTAGCCAAATGAGAGCGGCAGGCGACGTGGGAGTCTTCGCGGGCGCGCGCGCGCCGTCAGCTTCATCGACTGATTGCGAAATTTGCCTAGTAACGCGTCACGCGCGTACGCGCGCACGCATGTCCGTGCACGAACGCACGCACGCACGCACGCACGCACGCACGCACGCACGCACGCACGCACGCACTCAACCGCGCGCGCGCCCTTGCGCCTGCACGCGCGCTCAGACACACGCACGCACACACGCTCACATGTGCACACGAACGCTCGTACGCGTGTTCCCGCACGCAGGCTCATGCATGAACGCACAGGCACTTGAAGCGTTTCAATAAAGTATAATGCTAACTAAACACGAAATCTATTTACTACCAAATTCTTAATGTTTCTATACTCTCTTTCACATATTATTGCCGACAGTTTCCTGTAAATTCCGTCCAAATCCTACGTCCAACCATACGCTGCCGGCACCATTGCTTTCGCGGCGCGACTGTTGCACGCTTACACTAATATATATAGTACTTACACATATATAGTATATATAATACACTACTATATATATTAGTAAGCGTGCAACAGTCGCGCCGCGAAAGCAATGGCGCCGGCAGCGTATGGTTGGACGTAGGATTTGGACGGAATTTACAGGAAACTGTTGGCAATAATAGGTGAAAGAGAGTATAGAAACATTAAGAATTTGGTAGTAAATAAATTTCGTATTTAATTAGCATTATATTTTATTGAAACGCTTCAAGTGCCTGTGCATGAACGCATGCAAATACGCGCGCACGCACGCATGCGTGACTGCACGTACGCGTGTTCCCGCACGCAGGCTCATGCATGAACGCATGCAAATTACGCATGCGTGACTGCACGTACGCGTGTTCCCGCACGCAGGCTCATGCATGAACGCATGCAAATACGCACGCACGCACGCATGCGTGACTGCACGCACGCACGCATGCTTGACTGCACGTATGCACGTTCCCGCACATAGGCGCACGCACGCACACTCGTACACACGCGTGTAGCCACATGCACACACGTGCGCCTGCACGCACTCACGGACGCAAGCGCGCACGTGCACACATGCGCACGCTTACGCACGTGGGCGCGCAGGCACGCACATGTCTGTATGTAGTGTGGAGAGAGTCGCGTGAGCTATATACCCTGACGGTGTTTACTACACGCGCTTTAGCAGTTTAGTCTACGTGTTTTGCTATGTCGTCATTGATGCAGACGAAGGCAACGCTGGTTTATGGTAGCGGATGCTAGACTGCCACGGGCAAGAATTTCTGCTTTCTTCGCGTGTGCAGGTGCGAACTACGACATTTTGTGCATCATTCCTGTGACGCGAGCACGCGCGGGGGCGGCGTTGATGTTTCAGGGTAGGAAACAGCTCTTCGACGTAGAACTCCGTATTTTTTTTGCAGCGACAACCATTACCCTCTGCAATAGTGTGATAGTGCAAATCCGATATTATCGACAGATACGAAATACGGCCAAATACTGTACGCTCCGCGCGGCCGTGGATGATAGCGATCGCTTAATGAAGAATTTCTTTTCTCGCTGACAATTCATCTGCGATTACTCGCATCGAAAGACGAGATCTTGCGTAATTCGCGTGGCTTTGGACGTCTTACGGCGATAGATCAAAATCGCCGAGTAGCCGATATAATGACAGCTAAATTTTCACGACTATCCGCTGGCAAAATAAAATGCTCTGTCGACGTGTCCCGTAGTTCTATTCAGGGTTCGTTTGCTTATAGTATTGCCGCGTAGGCCGCCTGCACTAAACTATGGCCTGTGTTACTACTTGCTACATCCGAAGTATTTCATACTGTATACGAGGCTAGGTGAACATTTAACAAGCGCATTGAGCTCAAATTCTTATGTAAATGCACCGCGTACATGAATTCCGTATAGTTGAGAAATAGATATTCACATGTAAATTATTCATTGAAGTCAAATTTGTCAGTCATAATTATGTATGCTACATGAATAGACTCTTTGACAAGGCGGCCGTCTTTATACGTCCCCTGCGTGTTATGGCTGCATTACGCGTTGTTATCCTTAAATATAATACGAATTAATAATAGAGGCAACTCAGACTGCGTTGACACCCCAAAGTTTCTTAAATGCGTTGAAGATTAAACACTTAACATTGAATCATAAAGGTTCACTAAAAAGACAATAACCCACGCCCTCTTTCGGACAGATTTCCACGTATTAAGTATGGAAATCCTATCCACATTTGCGATTATGATGGTAATAATTTATGTATACCGAATGCGTATCCTATGCAAAGTATTCATATATTATTAACATAAGATACGAGAATATATCCTAGAGATCTATCGCTGATGGGCGATACATTTCATGAGTTTCATCTAAACCGGTGCGATGCGCGTGATGCCCGCTAGGGGGCGCTCATTAGTTGGATTCTTTGATGTGGGGGAGCGGGGGGGAGGGGTTGTTCGCGATACTCTTATACGGCACTCGGATACGATTTGACTTCATTGTTAGATTCGCGCGTACAGCGTGCATTAACGGTTGAAGGACGTGTTTAGTATTTGAACTGTTCCGACCACATGGCATTGATCAATACATTGTAGTTATATAGCATTCCACTTCACGTCGAACTGATATTGTCTTCAAACATAATAACTGAGGCGCAGAGCTCGGTCGTCATATATTATAGATCAAACGGTCGCTGAAAGGAGAGCGCCGCTTATTGCAAAGTATATCTCTGCTTACTGTAAACATATAGTATTTCTGAATATAAATACTGTGCATCGACGTATATGGCTGATACGTGATACGTGATTCCTCACAGATTAGGGAAAATAAAACATGCGCGTATTCATTTAGTATGTATTCAAAATAACCTTCTGCCCGCGTTTCCTTCTGTCAGTATCGCACGAAACACCCGATGTACAGGCGGCGTGCGCGGGTTGTCTCTCAAACATAAACAAGCAGCAAGAAACTGTCACCCAATATCAACAACCCAGTGTAATTGCTGACTTGGTTGGTTTGTCACGCACCGCATAGAGTAGTGCCTCGTCTACAAGCATGTCTTAGGCAAAGTTCATTTGAAGCAGTATCCAAGTACATCATTGGCCTTGCGCGTGGTCGAGGTAATGCGAAAATTGCAAAGCGTAATAGTAGGCCTATACGTGGGCGCCGTAGCAGACCTGAGAGAATTTTAGATAAAGGTGCGCTGATGTGTTCACGAGAATTCAATCATACCACTCTGGGAGCGTGTGCTTATTAATCCCATGCTTCATGGAGTCTGTAGAATTATGAACTATAGCCGGTAGCGCAACATCTGTTGATTTCATCCGATTCCGACGTTTGCGGAAGATTGTGCGGCTAGGATGTAAACGGACAAAGGTTAGACAATATATAATCCATTACACGCCCCCTCCCCTTCCCACACGCACACACGCACGCGCGCACACACACACGCACACACGCACATACACACACGCACCCATATACACACGCACACGCGCACACACACGCACACACGCGCACACACACACACACGAGCGCACACACGCACACACGCACACACGCACAAACACACACACACACACACACACACACACACACACACAGACACACACACATGAACACGCGCGCACACACACCCTACCTCCATACACTATAGGATGCATCATGACTACCTATAGTACCATCGCACCCACCGGGCGGCTGGAAAAATCTTTCTTCTCAGCCCAGATGGCGACACTAGCCACTATGTTTTATCAGCTGTTCATAATGTGCAACAAATCTGAGCGCTAATGGTACAGCGAGTATTCCGGACTGCCTGTAATAACAAACATCTTCGCCTTGGTTGACAGTGCAGTTCATTCGCTCCTGTGTCGCTCGCTATTCAAGCATTGTCGAATGCTCGTCGAACGAAATCGGTTCGCCATGTACGGACATGGATGCAAGAAGCCATAGCGCCACTGTCGCAGCAACCTGCATCGCAGCGTGTTCGCGCGAGCTGCGTTATTACGTTTGAAGTTCGACGAAATCGCATTTGCCGCGCGT